TACCAATTAGTTCCTCATATTTTTTTACCAATTGACTCCTCGTATTTTTTACCAATTAGTTTCTACTAATATGCAAGGAGGCGTCATTGCTTGCCTTGGAAAATTTTAAATTTTAAACCTACATTTAAAAAACTATATAAAATATATTTTTTTAATTTGCACACTTGTTTCATATTTAGAGTAAATAAATTAACCTCCGGTAATGATTTGTCACGCCGGTGTAATGATCCTGGGCAAATATCAACTTTACGATTTTGTGTTTTTACATAAAATAACAAAATCAACACAAAACCCGGTTCTTACCTGAATTACATTTTAATCGTCTCCTATAAATTAATTTCGTTAAGGCGTCTTATTGCAACTAAAAATCTAACTTTAGACAAAAAAACGGGCGAAAAAATTTTGTACTCACGTCAACCTTCGCATATCTCGCAAATTGAGCATAGCAACAAAACTTGTGAAGTTTTCCCGAATTTGCGAGATTTCGTAAAAATTTGCTGGAAAACCATGTAATTTTTCGTCGCAAATTTACCCAGCAATTGAGCATGTTCTTATTTCGCAAAATTATTTCGCAAGCTCTTCCTCACCATCGGCAGCACGAGAAATTACATAAACCCATGGAAACAATACGAAAATAGGCATTTTTTAGTAGATTTGCGCGATTGGTGTGATTTGCGAATCACCTCATGACATAAATGTTTTGCTCTTCGCAAGTTTGCTAAATGAGTTGCGATGCAAAATAAGACGTTGACAATTTAAAAAACGATATACAATTAACTGGGCTGCAAAAAAATCAACTTTTGATTTCGAAAATATACTTAAGATAAGCTGGTAACAAAACTATCCCCGCGTGGAGTCACAATAATACACATGACTTGGTTTTTTACATAATTCGAGAAATATTTGGAATAATTTCTCATATGAAATGTATTTGCGAAGTCTGATGTTCCATGATTTTAATTTTTGGATTTAATTTGAGATTTTTGTGCATAAAATATAACTGGGAATAACGACTTTTGTCAAAAAACGACGTATTTCAAAAATCCTTATATCGTTCTACATTTCCATAAACTGTTTACAATTTTATTATAAATTTCCGTAAAGAAAAACGTTGCAGTAATTATTTAAAAAAATTGGAATAATTTTCGAAAAAAATCTGCTCATAATTAAATTAAAAAAATCAGAAATTTAGTAATTGGTAGATTTCAACCCCTTTTTAGAAAATTCAAAAAAAAAGTGAAATTGATTTAATCATTTCCCAGATCCAGTGGGCACGAACTTGCAACATTTGTTAAAACGATCCCAAAACTAGAAAAATTAAAATAAATTCCCAAGATTAAAAGCGTTTATAAAATTCATTTCGTATTTGTTAGTGAGGCCAACTAGGCCTCGCTTGGTAAAATTTGTAACCAAAGGGTGACAATAATTTCGGAGAGATTCAAAATTGTTACAACGTTTTACTGATAAATAAAAGGCATGTTTTTGGTTCGCAAGCTGATTTTAGGATGTTTACGAGGTAACCGACTTACAAAAGCTGAAGTGAAATACTTCATTGTAAAATCAGTAAATTCTAAATGTCCTTCAGATTTGACTCATCTCCTCAAAAGCTTGAAGAAAGTTGGGTGAAAGTTCAAAGAGATAAAAATACCGGAAATAAGCACGATTTAATTTCAATCTCCGCCTTCTCCGCAACTCAAAAACTGAGATAAATAAATATTTAAAATTCCACTACTAACACACTTAAAAAAATAAAGTGCAATTTCCACCCTTTACGGGTAATAATTTTTTTCCATTCCCTGCTTAAAGTATTATTCTACTCATTACTTTTGCGCTTAAAAAACACAGAAATTGAGAGAATAAATTTTTTGAAAATTATTGAGTCATTTCACGCAGCTTCGTAACTTTATAAAATCCATACATTTTTAAAAATATGTAACTTTTTACAAACTTATCCGAAATAAAAGGACTGCCTTGATCTGAGTAAGTTTATAGAAAGTTTTCAGCTAATTTTCGTCAGAAATATTTTTAAAATTTTGAAAATTTACGAATTTTACAAAGTTGCGACGGACTGCATAAAAATTGCGTTATTGAGCCGTTCTCGTCTATTTAGATGACCATCCTTGATTCCAAGATCTTGGCTCTTCAATAAGCGACAATTTCGAAGAACAATTTCGCTTTCGAAGAATGGCGTGCATAACTACGCCTCCTCCTTTCCTGGCGGATTAATGAATGGCGGATTAATGAATGGCAGTGGGGGTAATTTTTTTAGAAACGAGATTTTTGCATATATGTAATTTAACAATTGAATTACTCACAGTTTTAGTGGAAAAACGTGGGGAAAGTTTGCTTATGTATTAACATTTCGAATTTCTGCCATTCATTGAGTTATTTCATGTCCACTGTGTAACTGCGTTAGGTTTGGAAGGTCACACACTTTTGACATTTGTTGACTTCGTAAAAATTTCGTAATTTTTCTTTTTGATAAAAAATATCACCTTGACTTCAACTAAAAGTGCAAGTATCAAACACTCGAATGTCTCGAATTAAATATTTACGAACTTTGATTTACAAACAAAAAAATGCGTTTGCAGTTTGTAAGTTTTGTAAAAGTTTGTAAGTCAAATTTCCTTCGAAATATGTGTAAAAGTTCGCAAAAGTTTGTAACCTTACGCAGTTACGATGGTTACAAACTTTGACGTGAGTTCCCTGATTATTTCTAGATTTTCAGACATATAAATATGTATTTTGCTACGTGAAATTTCTTTAAAAATATAAACATTTTATAAATATTTGAAATAGTGAGTTATTTATTTCGTTGATAAAATACGTCCATCTCCAATCTCCTGTATACCGATCTAAATATTCTGTAATGTGATAATTATCAAAACAAAAATAATATCGGTGTGCAAACCAAAAATTGAATTTTGTGAACAAACTTAATATGTATCGAATCTAACTTGAATCCAAATATTCTGATTTGTTCTCATTTTATTTATTGGTGTAGAAATGTATCAATTTTTCCTCAATCGTTTCATTTTTGTTACACCCACATCGTAAAAGTTTGTACGTTTACCTTATAAACCTTACGCAATTACGAAGTTTACAAAGATTGACGTGAGTTCCATCGTTGTTAAAACGTGTATAAAAAGATGAGAAATTTGTCACAAAATTTTTGGAAAAAGTGGTGCTTGGTTTTTAATGATTCATAAGAATGTGAAGAGAATAATTATAATTTGTTACTAATGTAATGTAAGTTATAATTATATAATTAGGTAATGACGCAATTCACAAAAAACACATTGAAATAAAAATAAAAATATTATTCATCCCTTGCCAAGAAGCATGCGGTATGACCACGTGTCTCAAAACTGTACCAAAAATTTTAACTGCTCAGCACGATAAAAGGCTGCAGGAAAACTTCGTTTTTGGAATTTTATCCCGAGTAAAATTAACATTAAAACTTCCTAGTTTGTAAAATTTCTTGGATGAAGGCTGTCTGATCTGGATAAATTTTGGAAGTTTACTAAATCATCTATATTATAAGCTGGAAATGTTTGTCTGCAACGGAAGTGAAAGTAATTTTCCGAACGGAAGTGAGAGTGGAGAAAGTTAATCTTAATTTAATGACTTCCGGTGCCGACTGGTATTCAAGGTGTGGAACTTATCGCCCGGCGGAAGACTGGCTTATACGCTAGTTTTACATATTAAATTTGGCATTTAAGTAACTCCAAAAAATTGTAAAATCCGTAAATTCTGTAAACTTATAAGGCTTCAGAATATTCCCAAGGAAAATAATATAGCGTACAAATGTTTGTAAACGTGCTCAGAGGTCAAGGGTGCCTTTTGTTTTGTAAATGTTTGTAAATTTATTTTACAAAGTTACAAGTACCCAAGGACTGTGTGAATTTCCTCGATATTTCCGAACGTAATTTTTCGCGTAGGTCTTGATAACACTGTAAAATCCGTCAATTCTGTAATCCTTTAAACGTGTTGCAAATATTTGCAAGGAAAATTGGCGTACAAATTTGTGTAAACTTACTCAGATCAAAGGAGTCTTTTTGGTTGATAAAAGTTTGTCAAATTATTTTACAAAGTAACCAAGCACTGCGTGAATTATCTCAGAATCGTTTGAAAAGTTGAAATAAATTGGAGAAAGAGGTTTGCATATGAGAACTTGTAATTAGCTTTGTTCACCCGATACACTCGGATGTTTGTAACGCATCAAAATCCTCGAAAATTTTAGCTGCCCAAATTATGTAGTGCAATATCAAGCTGTTGTTTGTAAAGTTACACAAATTACTAATACAGAGGGTTTTCAAAACCTTCGTAATTTTGGACTCGTAACAAAATTTTCGTAAGTTTACGTCCTTTACAAAGGGTTGACGTGAAAGACCCTTCATAAAAAAATATTTCGTAAAATTGTTTTAAATTTTTCCTTGCTTAATATCATTGGTTGGTAACTGTGGTGTTCGAAATACCATATTTTTTTATTTTTATGAAATTTTTTTACGAACGGAAAAAATGTCTCAACTTTTCTTATATTTACGAAGCTGCGTAAACATGGAATTTTCGTAGATGTCGTAAATTTACGCTATTTACTACAGTTACGAAGATGACTTGAAAACTCTCATAGAAATTCTCTTTATTTGAAAGAAAAAATAGATTTGGCAAAATTGCATTTTGCATAAATAGATATTTGCCTGAATCGAAAATAGAATAAATTGGACGCCATTTCGTGTAATTTTATAAATTTGTTTAAACACAAAGAATATTAAATAGATGAAATTTTTGGATCTTATCAATCTTTGCAATCTTATCAATGATCGATGGCTTAAATTTGCAAATTTTGTGTAAGAATCTGCATTAATAATGGGGGGCGCCAGCAGTTTTTGAAATAAAAGCCAAAACGTGCGAATTTTTTCAAAAATTAGTCAGGTTCGAAAGAATGAAATTCAAAAGTACAAATTACCAAATCATTTCTTAATTTTATAAATTATTTATTTTTGCTTTTTGCTAAATTTCGTATAATATAAGTTTTACCAAATCTTTGTCAATACAATATTTTATGTATTTTACATAGGTATAAAATTTAACAAGAATTGTTAATAACAAAGTGAAATTATACTATAAATCCTCTTCAATAAATAAATCAGTGAACACTGTGAAAAACCGGAAGTTAAACCAGCACCGGAACACAAATAGTAAATTATTTGAAATACATATTTTTCAAATTAAAAAATATCAGAATAAACAATCTTAAGTATAAAAAAACAGAAACAAAATTGGATAACGTAACAAACAAAAGGCAAATTAAATACTAAATGCAAACCATAACCTTCGACCCTACACCGTAAAGTAACAGCTTTGACCTCTAACTAACCCATCACCTCAAATTAATCCCACATTTTAAAACCTTTAATTTTGCATAACTCAAAAAGAAACATAATTTAAAAAAACTGAACCAGAATTTTGGACCTGAAAATTATAAAGACAGCATTTTGTACACAAAATTGGTAATTATTTAGCTCAAATAATTTCGAAAATTTGTAAAAAAAACAAACAATTGAGACAATTCACGCAGGCCTTGGTAACACTGTAAAATCCGTAAATTCTGTAAACTTTTACAAATATTTCTGAAGAAAATTAGCTTATCTATTAGATTTGTAACCTTGCTCAAATCATGGGCGTCTTTTTATTTCGTAAAAGTTTGTAAAATTATTCCACAAACTTTACGAATTTTACAAAGTTACCAAGGACTGCGTAACTCGTAAATTGGACCTCGAAACATCACTTCACTTCACTCTTCTTCATTATACTTGGCCGGATCGAATTCACCGCCACTATCGTCATCCGTGACTTCGGCGTCCTCTTCGCTAATCGTGTTGGGAATATCGGGCATGATTTTCTTCCTTGGTGCCATCTTCTTAATCGAGACGTACGCGTATCTCTGCCCGTCTTCAACTTCGATTCGGCACGTGGAATAAAATCGCATGCGTTGTCCCACCACGAGACACTTTGAATGGTACTTGGTCGTATTCTCGTCCAGCGGGATGTCTTTCATGAGGAGGACGCTTTTCAGGCAGGGGGATCCAGATGAGGTCACGTGTTGAACGATCCCTTCGGGTCGGGCGGTTGCGATACCTGGAAATAAAAGAGATAAATATTTCGAGGTCGGAATCAGGAAATCAGGATTCCTCCCAAAAATTCTTGACAGGGGATCGTTTTTTTAGGGAAAAATAGGACATTTTTTTATTAAAAAAGGGCGACAAAAACTTTGAGGACAGTTTTGTTAAAAAAACAGAAAAAGAATTGGAAGACTTTTTCTAAGACAAAAAACAGGGATAAAAAAATTAGGGAAAAAGCGAGAATAAAAATCCAGTTGTTATTGAAAAATACAGAAATCGGACCTTTGTCGACCAAATATTTATTAGCATAGATCCAATCCTCGCGAGTTTCAATGGGCACGCCATTCTTTCCCGTGGGAGCGGCGGCCTCAGTTTTCACCAAGGTGTAGATATCGACGACCGCGGTGGCTCCAGGATCTTGGAAGCCGGAGACCTGTACGGAAATAAATACGATACTTTTAAAATTATGTACACCATTTTTGATTTCTGAAATTTATTTTATTTTACCACGGCCTGTTGCGTCCTGTAGATGGTGAGATGCTCAAAGAACACGTCCACGTCGCGAATACCAATGATTCCATTTAGTCGGCAGGGAAAACTCTACAGTTTTAAAAGATATGCGTAATGAGTGAACTATTGATGATGACCTTTGACCTCGGTTACCTGAGCGGGAATCCGACCAAGCAAAGGGCTCACGAGTTCACACGGAATGAGGTCTGCGACCGGAATAGTTTCCGTATTCCCAAAATCGATGTAGAGGACACGGATCTAAAAAAAATAGCAAAATTTGAGTAATTGTTGTTACTAAAACTATTTCAAAATTTCCCAAATATTGCAAAAAAATTGCATAGTTCATACTTAAATAGTTATTAAATATAAATTAAAACTTTTATAAAAAAACCTGGAGAGAAAAACTTTTATCAAATTGTGCAAAAATTGCACATAAATTCGCCAAGAAATTACAATTTGACCTGTCACCATTTGATTTCCCATCTTATATTTTGGCAATGTTTTGTTATCACAAATCACAACATTTAACGGAAAAAAACGCATGTTAATGTCACCATCATTAAATAGTTATAGCTGTTAAATGGTTAAGAAAACGTGTCTAAATTTGCACACAAATTTGCCAAAAAATGTCAATCTAACCATTTTACTTCCCATCTTGTAGTTCCTTTCGTCAACCTTAACCCTGTAGAAGGCTTTATCGTCGTAGTAGTGGGCGAGGAAGATGTTCTGGCATAAGTTGAAGTAGGCATGTTCAAAATCCGACATTCGCCTGATAAGGCTTCCCTCCTTAAGGGTTGAATTGAACTCCTTCGAGGTCTTTATTCGGGGCGGATTTGGCCCAATATTTGTCAATCGTTGGGCCAACGCTGACTGCAATGAGATCGCGGCATGACCACCGGTCGCACCAACGTGAGAAACGTGACACCATTTGATAACAGAGCCCTGGAAGAAAAGAAAAAAAGAGATTTAATTATTGGTGGGGAATTAATAGAGGACAAAAAATAAATTAAAAATTTCACTATTTTGCAAAGTTTTGTACATTTTTGGTAAAAAATATTGGGTACAAAAAACTATAAAGGGTCGCTTTACACAGGATTCAAATCAGAACAAATTCTTGCAAAAACTTACAAACTCGTAATTTTGTAAGTTTTGTAAAATAATTTTGCAATCGTGCATAAAATAAAAAGACGGCCTTCATTTGAATAAGTTTACAAAGATTTGTGAGCTAGTTTTCTTAGGAAATACTTGTAAAGTTTGTAAGTTTACAGGATTTACAGATTTTACGGGAATATTACAAACGACTGCGCGAATTGCTCCAGTATAAACAATACACTTTTAAACCATGCAAAAAAAATGCATCAAATTTGACCAGTTTTAATTTCTCCCACCTTTACAAATTTATTCGGCAATCGGGTAAATCCAGCAATCGCGTCGGAAAAGAGTCTGCTGAGTGTGATGGTACTTCCTTTGCTGGCGAGCAACGGGTTCAAACACTCTCGGATCTTGACATCCATTCCAACGACGGGAATTCCATCGGCCGCCGTGTGGTACGACGTGATTGTGACTTTGCTATGCAGAGAAGGCAAAAGTGGGGCGAGTTCCTTCAATATGTTCCCGTAGCAGAAAAATTCGATCCCTTTGAGGCGACAGCGATGCATCTGTGACACCCAAAAATTAAAATTAGTAAAAAAGGAGTATTTTGAAGGTTCGATGTTTGGAAATCGGCAAGGATTTTACAAAAGTTGCAAATTTGAGGAAAGTCGAATTTGAAATTTTAAGGAACAATTGTATCAAAATTTTAAGAATTTTATAAGAACTTTACAAAAGTTTGAAATTTGTCGACAGGAAAATCAATAATTTAATGGCAATTTGGGTGAAAATTCTGGCCAGATTCTTATTATTTTTGGTGCTTATGAAAGTTACGAATGTCTCCCGAATTTTTACCCAAATTAGAAATTTTACCAAGAAAATCAAATTTCGATCAAAATTTTACGCATTTCACAAGAATTTACTTAAAATTTCCCTACCAAAAACGGAGCATCCATGAACATGGGTGGAATGTGAAAGAGTTGGTCGAAAGGGACGTCGTCATACTCCCAGGAATCCATGTCCTTGCAAAGCGCGACTCCTTTGTCGTCTTTGATCTTGATAATTCGTGCCCGCACGATGGCTCCGTCTGCCCTCGGCCACTTGGCGCAAACCAACATGTTCTCGCTTATCGAATCGCGAGGGATCGAAAAGTCGACACAATTTAAACTGTCTTCGCCCTCGTTGGAGCCAAAGAGTGAGAAAATGCTTTCTTGGAGAAGCTTGTATTGAGCCTGGAATTACAAAAAATTGGTCAAAAATTTGAACTTGGTTAATTTTTAATACAAATTTCCACCCACAATTGTTGCTTGATCTCTGAACTCGACGAGACAATAGCCTCTATCAATAAATCCGAGCAATTTCGCTGGAAATGGGACATCCGGCGATAATTTTGGACACGGTTCTTCTTCAAATCCCGGTTTAACTTGGTTTTCTTTCTCGTAACGAGCTGAATCCAGTTTGAGGTCAAGGTCAGCATTGCAGGGCGGCGGCTCGATATCTTCTTTTGGATCATCATCCGAGTTGAGCTTGGCATCATCGTCTGAAAAAAGATAAGACCACGATTATTAAGGAATTGTCATTTTTATGAAAAATAAATTGTGAAAATAATTTACAATTTGAAGTTTAAAATTTTGCTAGGAAATTGTATCGTAAAAAAACTTACTACTTTCCACCACCACTTTTTCTTCGGCGTTGTCATCTTGCTTATCGATGTTCTCCGTTTCGACCACGTCGTCATCGCCGACATCGACGTTATCCGTTTCGACGACTCCTTCGCCAACATCGGCGTTATCCGTTTCGACGACTCCTTCGCCAACATCGGCGTTATCCGTTTCGCCCTCTCCGTCGACGTCGCCCTCTTCTCCATCTTCATCTTCCTCCTCCTCTTCCTCTTCATCATCTTCCTTATCGACCTCCTCACCCCGTCCGATCTTGAGCCTCCTCTCCTCTTCAGCTTTCTTCCGCCTTGCCTCTCTGACCTCATCATCTGACGGTAACGGGGGAATAAACGAGGTCAAATCTAGCCCTCTACGGCGATCCCACCTTTCCGGATATTTTGAATAATCGTACGGAATGCCGACACCATCGTCAGGCTTCAAATCTTCCCCATTTGCGAGGATACGTTCAATCATCTCCTTCCTTTTGAAAGCCTCCGTGTTGTTTTTCGCGTGCCGGTCGGGTGCCCAGATGTTTCGATCCATGAGCGGATTTGGCAACTCGCCGACGAATTTCTTAATGGGTTTGAGATTCGGATAGTTCGGGCGTCGCGAGGTGAGCAGGGCGGACGGTGGTTTGGTGGCAGGCACGCCGGAAACGTCGCCACCACGGAGGTAATACTCCTCTTCGTCGTCGGAGGGGGATGATAAGTCAATTTTCCACATGGTGACGGGATCGATGGGATTTTTCGGAGGGTTGGTGAGGAGGTGGGGAAGGTCGCGGTGCCATTGGGGGGAGTAGACGTATGGTGGGCTGGAAAGAGAGAGGATAGATAAGTGGTTATCGAGGTGGTGGCGGTGGTAATAAAAATGACACGAATAGGCAAGATAGATATTTTGTCAAAATATAGTATTTTGAACTCTGTTCTTTTCAAGGGCTTGGATTTCCAGGCACAAAAAGACGAAAATCTACGTGGAGAAGGCAGCAGCCATTCGAAAATACGTGTTTTTTTGAAGAAATTAACTTTTCATCGCTGTGAAAATACTGTATTTTTAAAAAATCGTGAAAATTAGGTGTTTCGATATCGATCAAAAGTTAATTTCTTTACAAAACAAGTATTTTGTCGTATTCTTCATGTAGATTTTTGTCTGAATCCCACCCCCTTGGAAGAACGGAGCTAAAAACACTGTATTTTGACCAAATATCTTCACCCACCCCTTCAAAAACCTAATAATCATAAAATAATGCCCTTACATCTCCACTGGGTCCAACCACCCCCAATCGTCCTGACTGGTGTCACGAGGTGAACTCGGTTCAGGTGGCGGAGGAGGTGCCGGCGACGGAAACGCGGCGCCAGCGCCAGACTCCTCCCAATCTTTTGTTGACCAATACCGCGTGTTGTTCACGGGGCGGATGTATCGAGGTACAGGTCGAGCCTTGAAAGTGGGCGCGTCCGGCGACACGACTTCTTCACTCGGAGGACAGACTTTCGCAGGGGGTTGGTCACGCTTGCCTAACATTTTGTTGAATCTGGGGACAAAAACAATAACAAAAAGTCAAATGATGATGACGACAATATGAAAATGGCGACAAATTGTGAAATCTTGCTTCATTTTGGTAATGCCCATTACCAAAATGAAGCTAATTCTAATGGCAAGTAGTAAAATTAAATTGCCCAGATAACTGACTCGATTCGAGTTGAAAGCTAGAAATCTTGAGAAAAATTATGACCGGCTCAACCTAAAAGGCGACAAAATAAGCTAACTAATTACTTTAAACGTAATAATAATTAAAAACTTACCGACAGTTAATTCTCCACCGAAAATCTAGTCAACCCACTAGAAGAAACCTCAAAGAGAGGAATTAACAGATCAAAAGTCGGAACTCGAACTTCACGACACAACAAAACGCTACTTTTTCGACTAAAACGATAAATTAAGTTAGTCGATCAAGCAATTAATTAGTTAATTAATTAAATAATTAATTAACTGCCGACGATCCAAACAAAGAGCCAGCAGATTTTAACGGAACGATTTTTCACTGTCTGTGTCGGTCGTCACGAGCGAGCGGGCCGACCAAATTGGGAAAAGTCTCACGTTGCACTGATTCATTTACCCCAGGAATTAAAAAAAAGTTGATGATTTTGAATTTAAATGTTAATTAAGAATTATAATTAGTTTGCAATTAGCATTTAAAATTTTGTTTTAATTAGAAATTTAAAAGTTCTGTAGGAATTTTATATCAGTATGGAAAGCCCATTATTAAACTAAATATGGTTGCAAATGATTGAGTTTCTTTTTCATAATTAATTAACGGCTGTAAAGTTATACTAAAATTTATGCAGATTTGCAAAATTGCCCATTAATTTAGTTGCTCAGTTAAGCCGATAAATTTTAAGATAACAACATAACGCCATTTTATTATTGCAATATTCATGCATGATTTTCAAAATTTCAAGCGTTTAGCACTTGGTGACAGTTACATAGAATAAGAAATCCAGTCTTAAAATAATCCCAAGCGGTATTTATTTGTATATATGACTCTACCAAAGTGGTATTGATAGATAAGTAATGCCGTGTAGCAAGTAATAGCTCGGTATTAAAGTTTTACCATGTCAGTAGAAATTTTTATGAACTGGAATAATTTTAATACGAAGCGGTAGTAACTTTAATACCGAGAAATCAACACCTGCCTGACTATGTCAGATTTATAAGTGTGCACCTATTTTAGATAATCATTTTTAAACTTACATTAAATTTGGATATTGAGCACACTCACGTCAACTTTCGCATATCTTGCATATCTCGTAAATTGAGCATGGCAATATCACTTGCGAAGTTTTATAAAATTTGCAAAACTTTTGCTGCAAAACCATGAAATTTTGTTCGCAAATTTACCCAGCAATTGGGTATGTTCCTATTTCACAAACGCATCCTGGCACCATCACCAGCAAAACAAATTACAGAAATCAATGGAAACCATATCAAAATAGGTGGTTTTAGTAGATTTACGAGGTCATATTTTGCGAATCGTCTCAAAACACAAAGGACACTTACGAATTTCCCCTTTTTTGCGGCCCCTTAGAGACGATTTCGAGCCAAAATCCCCGGCCCCTTTATTTTCGCAATTTTCCGAGTATTTAAATGTCGTCACTTGGTGATTTACAGCCAAATAATCAAATATTTAGATTTTAGCCCGAACCATGGCTTTATGTGTCGTCATGTCTGTCTGTCTGTCTTTCGATCACTTTAGAACATTGACCGATTTTGACCAAATTTGGTAACAACATATGTCTGCATAATGTAACGACCAAGTTAGAAGATGGGGTAGATAAAAAGAAGTTGGACCGGTGGGGGTCACATACATGTCAGGTGGGGTCATGCAGAGTATTCCAAATAGTCGTGGAAGGCATATTCGAAAATTCGGCACAATTGTCCTAATGTAGATATAATGTCGCAATGTAAAGGATGTCATGCGCTTTTTATCGGAGGGAGCAATACCGATTTTCAGAAATTATCGTAAAGGGCTGAAATTCTGCAGTTATACTTAATGGCTTCTCATGAACGAATATGAAGTTAAAAGTGAGCATTGTGCGACCAAATCCAGATTATGTGTATGCAAAATGTACATTTAAGTTTTCGATTTTTCGCCGTAGTTTTCGCTGGTAGCGATTTTAGACCAACATGTCCTTGGCGAATAAATCCGACTGAAAATCATACACGGTCATACGATTGCTCATTTTTCTTCTAAAGAAGTGTCGCATCCAATAAAAAATACTAAGGGCATTCCCTATACCTTCGTATTGTTAGTATCGTAAAATAGTTCACGAAGAAAAAACAAGGGGCCAAGCTTCTTAAAAATTGTAAGCTGAGTACGTTGGTTCTGATGGCAAAATCTCGTAACTTACTTTATGATAAGAAGAATACTAACGATACGAAGAAATAACGAATACCCTCACCCAATGGCAGCGGAAGCGTGGGGACATCTGGGGACATTAACATTGTAGGATAGGGGAGGGAGGGGTTTATATAAGATGGGAGATGATGGGGAAAATAATCATGGGGACATTCATGGTAATTCTATATCCCTATCATCTCCCCACAGTTTCCGCGGCCACTACCCTCACGGCGAAGTTGAAAAAGTTATTATATTCACAAAGTTTTTTTTCGGCACCTCAGTTTTTTTTGTCTGACACATTAAAAATCGTCAACGAGGAAATTGTCGGCCGTAATACTAAGCATATAAGGTTTCATATTTTTAAATCGCGAAAAAGTTTTAAGTTACGTTTTTTTAACTCAGTATATAAAATCCTGTCTTTTTATCTGCCTGTCAGCGGGATAACGCAAGAACGGATCAAGATAATTGAAATCGGTTTGTGGCATTGTATATGCATATGACCCCGGGGGGAGGATCTTATCAACTTTTAAGGTCAATCAGACCACCCCCCTCGAGCTCAAGGGGTGTGATACATAATTTTGGTGGAATTACTTTTTTTCACCCTATTACTACATTTCGTTGCTATGATTTATTTACTCATAAATCCTGGTTCGGGCTAAGTGAAGCTATTTGAGAGATATTTTATTGTGCGTGATTTTGTTGTTGGCAACACAAAGATAGCAACGTGGTGACCACTTTTCCGAGTAGATTTTCATGAAAACCACCTCGGGATTTTGGCCATACCTCAAAGCGACAAACGAGCTCCCTCCCAGATTTTTTTTATTTTGATTATCAAGACTTGTTACGTTAATGATACAAATTTTGAGGGGGAGCTCGACTGCTTTGGTCACTAAATAAATTACCAAAGTAATGCATATTTGGGCCGCAAAGTATGGGATTACCTAAGGTATTCTTTTTAAATCTTGGCAAGTTTGCTAAATGAGTTGCGATGCGAAGTAACACATTGTCCCTCATCATTGTATTCGGAAAAATTGGTCATCCAAAAATTTGTCATTTATCCTATATAGTCTTATAAATATATCATGAAAATTTGATATTCGTCTTGTAAAGTAACGTTTGCAAATTATCTTAAAATTTTAAACAGACGTTACATTATGCATTTCAATTTCAATTTTGTTTAGCGATTTCAAGCACGACAAATATTTAGGGTTCGGGAAACGATTGCATTTAATGCAATCCTTGACTTAATTTCGTACTTATTTTGACTCAATTTCCGTTTCATTTAAAAAATTTGAACTTCTCGTCGAAATTTAATCTACACTCTTAAAAAAATCAATAACCGTTGGTATTGATATGTGACTCTACCGCGTGGTATTGATCCGGTATTGAATTAATACTACGTGGTAAAAACTTTAATACCAATTAGTATTAAGATTATTACCATGAGGTATAATTTCAATACCGGTTCTATACCAATATGGTATAACCGTTTAATACCAAGGCGGTAGAGTCACGTATCAATACCGTTAGGCTTTTTTCAATACCAAGTTTCTAAGAGTGTATTAACTAAATTTAAAAGCGAACTTAAAATAATTTCCTGTTAGTGTATGTTGATTGTTCATAGCCCGAAATACATGATAAGGCACCAGACCATGCAGAGGAATTAATCCGTGTATCGTGACAAAATTATCAACTTTTATTGTTTCATTATCGAAATAAAAGGTTTAATAGTCATTCAATCTCTAAATTGTAGAAAATTATTTAATCCGACAAATTTAGGGCGACGCTAAACGCCAAGATTTCCCCAGAAATATGAAAGTTGAGCCGGCGAGAAGCGAATTCCGAGCGTGTTCTTCCATCCGGTGGGTGAAAGTTGGAGGCAAACTTTCACCTCGGTGGACGTGAAGATGGCGTCCAACCCAAAACGGAGAAAGTCCAACCTCCCTCCTTTCCAAGGAGAAAGGTGAAAAGATCCATTTTACTTCATTTGCATATGGTAAATTTCGCATAATTTGCAGAAATTTTGCGTGTCCCATTGTGTATTTATCAATGAGACAGTTCACGCAATCCTTGGTAACTTTGCAATATCTGTAAATTTTGGAAAATAATTTTACAAAACTTGTACAGAATAAAAAAAAATTCCCTTGATCTGAGTAAGCTTACAAAAAAATTGTAGGCTAATTTTCTTCAGAAATATTTGTAAAATTTTGGTCTTAAAAGTTTGCAAGTTTATGAATTTTACTGATTTTACAAAGTTACCAAGGATCGCGTGAATTGTCTCTAAATACACGTGCAAAATATCTGATTCCAAAAAGAATTTGGGCTTATCTACAACGTAATTTGATCATAAAACCCCAAAAATAAACATTACATTGTTGTATTTCATATCCATGTCGTGCTACGTTTGACCACATTTGCAGTTATTCGTGACGATAAGTTTCCCCACTTTTCTCATCATTTCACAAACCTTAAATATCTTTCTATTTTACAGTTATTTAGTCACCAAAACATGTCAAAACCTTATCTATCGGTAACAAACAGCGATACACCAGTTATTTTAATAAACCGTTACAACGCATGTAACCAAGGGGTGAAAGGAGTGTCATACGTCAATGTGAATATCAAATTGTTCGAAAATTTGTTAAGATTGACACTTCTGACGTGTTTTCGACTTTTGTGTCTTATTTGTGTCAAATTTAACAGTTGATAACCCTTATGTGACCTTTATATGACCTCTGAGGTCAAAATGGAGGTCACCATTGAATTCGGGGTTAAATTTCAGTTGAAATTGAAATAGATATGTCCTATGACCTTTACATGACCTCTGAGGTCAAAATGGAGGTCACCATTGAATTTGACATTGAAAAATAGTTAAAAATGACGTGTCACATGTCAAAACTGACAAGTGACACTTTTTCGTCACTTTTCGTCACCGTGACGATGTCATCGTCACAGGTGACGTCCAAACACAAAATGACATGAATTTTCGAATTCCTCATTGAAAAATAGTTAAAAATGATGTGTCACATGTCAAAACTGACAAGTGACACTTTTTCGTCACTTTTCGTCACTGTGACGATGTCATCGTCACAGGTGACGATGTCACAGTGACCATCTTCGAACTCGTCCTGTCCATTGACGTTA